AAAATGCAGCATTCTTTCATGAGTGAGGGCTCTATGCTGATGAAGTGCAGCATCCTAACCTCTTTGTGAGTCTCAGCTCATGATGATGTTGCACAGTTTTCTACCTTTTAAAAATGGCAATGTGATTTTCATTCTCCTCTTTAAAGTAAAGTTACAGTCAACTGATATAAAAACCACATGAACAATCGTGCACAGCAGGGGGAATGCCACCTGCGACTTTTGCTAGTTAAAACTCCACAAACCGCTGAAAGAGTCATGAAGAATTTAGCATTACAAGGTCATGGCTCTTTTATTTTGGAGCTGAGCACACCACCTGCAGCACATATTTCCAGCTGCCTTCAGAATGATATGGACCCCTGAAAGTGAGCTCATTGTGGCTTCTCCTACTCCCACATTACACTAGCACACACACACACACAACGCCTCAACAGATTAGGAGAAGGAGAGGATGTTATGCTGCAGAATGACAACCTTATCACTAAGTCTTCAGCTTGCAGGGTGAACGGGCCCCTGTGCTAGGAAGGGCCTTGTTCTTGTTCACCTACCTGTGCATCTCATTGTATCAGTGTGATGCCATATCAAACAAGAATATATAAGACAGACTATTAAAAAAGGTGCAGTGAGTATGTGAGAAATGCCAGTGTTAGCTGAGTTTATGTAAAACTTATCACGTACTGCTACTAAATTAAAAACATTTAAGTCTCATTTATGTTTGGATCACATTATAATATCACTACAAAACCAGAACAAAAAATGATCTGAAAACTGATCAGGCATCAGTTTTACCAGTAACTTCTACACTTTAGTAACATCCTTGTCTTTCTTATCATTGTACAAATAACAACCTGACACCACAACATAGTTTTTATGAGGGTCCATAAAGTTTAAATATCATATTTATATATTGTATCCTGTAAAATGTGACAGCCTGTTGAATACAAGTGGTGCTAATGGAAAAAGTAAAAAATTTGTGAAAAAGGAGCAATAATATTACAATATATTTTCACTTGCTGTTTGTAAATTGGGGTAAAAGCCTTAAAAGTAAATATTTTATGACTGTAGAGCTGACCGGCAATCTTTAAAACCATTTTTGGACAGACTCCAGGCCACTGTATAAGGTTTAAACATTATTGAAAAGTGCACAGACATAATGTAAGGCAATAATCAATCTGGTATGGGTGAATGCAGCTCGGTTAAAAAATAAATAAATAAATAAATTTTCAGATATTCAGTTTTGGAACTCCTTAATTTTGAGCATCAGTTTCCATCCTCATCACAGTGCTAAAGCCTCCCATTTAGACTCCATTAAAACTACATTTTCCTCAAACCCTAGTTGTTAAGGTTGTGCAAATGCCTGTGCTACAGGAGCAGTAGCTGACCAGCCATGCAGCTCTTTATCTATTAAAACCCAAGAAGGTTGATTGTTTTGTTGACCTAATGTCCTGTTTGGATGCAGATAATAGCATTTGAATGCAATCTCATTTCAACAGGGGGTCCTTCTCTAAAAGCTGGCCTCAAGTCGAAGATCAAGCCACATAGCTGCAGAGATCAAATTAATGAGTAATAAATGTTTTTCTCATGATTCAAGTAAGAACGCTGCTTTTAAGCTTTTCTCTCCATCCAAACACTACCCTCAAACTGTGAACAGAGGAGACATTATTGACTGTCTGCTGGACAGTACAGCAGTTACCACTATACAATGCAGTGTTATCTCCACAGAAGATATTGTATGTTGTTCTCTTTCTCACACACATACTTCCCATGCCTATCTCTTTCTCTTTCTGCTGGTGTGTCTTACTCCGTGCCTGGTGTTCCATCACCATACTCTGGGGCAGTAATGAGTGTCTGGTATTCTGCTCTTCATTACTGAAGCTCTATTCATGCTCAATCTCCTTTACAATGCACTAAAGGATTGCCCAATTAGTTGCTATTGGATGTCTGTGTTTATGCGTGTGTGTGTGTGTGTGTGTATCTCTAGCCACATGTGAGCACTGAAAGTGAAAAATATATGGTTGTCTCTACCCCACACCTTATTCCCAGTTGATGCTATGCTGTAGGAATGAAAACAAACGTGTGTGTGACTGAGGCTTTGAAAGGCCACAGAGGATGGGAGAGAAAGAGACTGAGTTTTACTTTTCAATCATTCAGCTTAGCAGCCCACTCTGTTTCTTCTTCTTCTCCCTTTAATTTGTGAGTTTCATTCTGACTGTGTCACACATGGGGTAATTCTTCATTGCATGTGAATCATCACTTTGTGTGAATCACAGATCGATTCCAGCTATCTAACATATTACATCACATTGGCAGTAATGTGTCCAGCATTTGAACTCATGGGACTGGGCAGCATAATAAGGATTGATTTAGGCTGAGTTCTCCTCCAGAATTAGAATTTTGAACATCTACATTTTGGGTAAATTTCTGCTTAATTTTATTTCTGGCACTTTGTAGAGAAGGGAAATAGTAGGACAAAGTTTTGCCTTGTAAGAATAGTTCAGGTTTTATTTTATCTTTTTAATATTAATAACAACTCTCCTGGAGAGACTAAAGCCAATTAATTTATTAACCTGTATTTTCCCTGAAGCCACAGAGACAACACTTTTATGTCTTGGTACATGTTGACCCACATGTTGATGAGCCAACATGGATGTTGTGGAAATTATAGTGGTAATTTGGCAGCTTTTTGCAAGTAAAAGATTGCTCTTCAGCAATCAACTCTAAAGTTGTGGATGTCATTATGATCAACACTTGAATGCACCACAATGGAAGTCTTTGTAAAACAAACTGGGCTTTCATAACCATTATCTCACAGTAATAATAATCTTAGTTCAATTTTTAATGGAAATCCTGTATTGTAAACTGAGGGCATGAACACTTACTGGGCATGGAGGCTTTATAGGAAGTGTTTTTTAAGCTTGACCCATAGGAGGGACTAATATTCAGAATAGCCTATTCCCCAAATACTAATTTATGTTTAAATTACTGTTATTTGATTTTAAGTTACATCAGATTTCACCAGAATGGTCCTTTAAAAGTTATATAACAGGACTTAAAATTAAAGATTTGAAAAAAAAACATGTTGCAGTTTAACTTCACAGATAAACTGCATGAACCATAACGTGAAACTATTAGTTAAACAAGGGTAGTGTTTAAACACACCGACCTGTCAAAATATTGTGTATAAAACTATGCATGTGCTTAAGACTGCACATGTGAACAGAGAACAATAAGCTGCCCAAGACTGACCTAAAAAAACAGACACACTGAACTAGATAGATTACACAGGCATCTGTTAGAAATTATCATATAAACAGTGAGAATTAAAGTGATGCCATCTGGCACCGTGGCAGTGTAAAGATACAGTGAGAACAGAGGAGAGTTTCATTGTGACACAGGTATACATTCTGAACCTTTGTAGCACACTGCTGCCTTCCACTTGCTGTGCTAATGGATTGGCTATGCCTGTGTGGGTGCTGGGGGGGTTGTATTGTCAGCTGGTTTTGTGCAGGACAGGGCTTTATGTCACACAGGTCAGCTGGGGCACACACACACACACACACACACACACACACACACACACACACACGCCCTTGCTTGTACACAAACACACAACAGAAGAAGTGTGTAGAGACTAAAAAGCAGCTTGATATAAGATTTGATGTAAGAATGCATTCACACTCGCACACATACACACACACCCCATCCTGCCTCACCAAAGGTCTTAAATCACTCTACTCAAAAGTCACAAGGTCAGACCATTTGTACTGCTTATTAAAATTTGCAGGGTAAAAGGTTTTCAAATCACTTCAATAGTTAGATTAAATAGAAGCGAAATTGACCGACCCTTAGTGGTGGGAGCATAAAAGTGAAACGGCAGGATCATTGTTCAGAAAACGGGCCTGAGGGTCTGAATAGGACTAATCGAGGAACAATGGCAGTCGGCTGAAAGGTGCTGCTGAAATGAAACGATCCAGTAGATCTACAGAGATACTGTATATTATCTCATAAGGGGTCAAAAAAAACTTTGTGAGAATACTTCCACACACTACAGTATGATGTAATATGATGTAAACATGACAGCAATTCTCTTTGCCTATGTTGAAAGATCACAGTGGAGGTTCACACTGTTTTCTGAGGTTTGTTATTAGTTCAGTCTGAAAAAAAGAGAGCTCTTTATTGATTTTTGTGTGATGATATCCATGAATCAGTGGTGCTTTATTTGTAGGTACATGGTAAAGCTGTCTGTTTTGGTCACATTAAGAGAAAGTATACGTTTACTTGTGACAAAAATGGGGTGTTGGATTTATACTTGTTTTGTCAGCAGTGGCGCTAAGGGGCTATATATTTTCTGTTGTTGTTGTTTGTTCATTTGGAACACAATACCTTGTATATTTTCCTGTCATGGTGTGTGATTGTCTTTCATCCACAAGGTGTTTTGTCAACAGTGTGTACTCTGTGGGATGCCGAGCACTCTGCTGCCTTAGAGAGACTTCTACTGACTGTGAAACTGTGCAAAAGTGTCTGTTATTTGTGTGGATGTGTGTGAAAGAGTGAGTCTGTGTGTGTATGTCTGAACAAACAGCATAAAGGCAGGATGGTGGTAAATCACTATAAAACTAAAGCTCTCTAGCCCTCTCATTGTGAGGGCTAGTTATTTATTTCACACTCAAATATGGTCCTGGGCTGTTTGGGGAGAATACATCAACCGGCACACAAGAGTCCAAACAAAGAGGGGCACACTTCAACAGACAAAGAGCGAAAAGAGAGAGGGCAAGCGCCTTTTTTTCTCCTTCAGATAAAGTGTTGTTTATTCAGGGTGGGTGCAGGGCACTGAGTGGGACGGAGGGATGGAGGGAGGAACTGATGGAAGAAGGGAGGGAGGGAAGGATGAATGGTTATTACACAGTTAGTCAATGCACAAACAGAGGGTGTCTGAGGGAAATAGTGGGGAGAGGAGGGGGTTTGATGGGGGGTGTCAAAGATCTTTTGTGAAGGGGGAGACTTAATCACTTGAGTGGCACACGCCAGTTCTATGGAAGCACATGTTGTACACTGGCTCCCCTGGGGGGAGCAGGAGGTCCCAAAACACACAGACACTCGTGTGTGTGCGCGCACACAGTTAAATTTACATGTCAGTTATAAAAGCTGGGCACAGGCTGACTAGAAAAGCAGCCCCACCCCTTAACAGAAGAGTTAGCAGGTCCCACTGGCTGTGGTGACAGTGTGAGGTTTGAATTTGTGGCTGGTTCATTCAAGGGCATAGACAAACAGACGTATACACATGTCTTCTTGTTTGGTTTCTCCAGGACTGGATAGATGACTCTGCAGGGGCCTTACTAGAGATGGATGCTTAGTTTGACTTGGCAGTAAGTAAAATCTGTTGTTTCATCACTTCAGTCCCATGTCTGTGGTGGATGCTAATATGTGAGAATGATAGGCTAGAATTCAGATTTAGTGGCAGACATCCTGGCACAGTAGAATAGAGGCAGTCAGAGACTGTTTAAATCAGCAATACAGGGAATTGCTTTACTTTGTGCTTGTGCAGGTGCAAATGTATCATCATATATCGTCCATTATTTGACAATTTCAGTAGCTATTTATTCTGTATAATATATTTTGAATTATATCCTCTGTGAAACAGAAAATCAAAAATGAAACTGTGCTTGAAAACGTCCATCTGGCTGTGTGATTCTTTCACGATTAATACATTTCATGTAGTTTAAGATTATCATTCCTTTCGTACATATATATTCACCTTAGATAGACTATAATTGCAGACTTTTCATTCTGGCATCACATAAACCTTCCTTCTTCCTTCTTTATGTGTGCTACTCTGTTTGACTTGCTGTCTGTCTCCAGTGCTCCCATTATTGTCCTCATCAGGAAACATCTATTTTGTACATCTCCTCTCACATATCATTGTTTTCTGGGCAATGAAAAGTGACAGCTTTGATCAGTGCACTCGCCTTCATTCAGTTTTTTATTCCTCAAGCATGTTCATCAAACATCTCAGGAAAAAGATACTGACTGTATCTACATAAAAACCACAGTGCAACCAATAATTATGGATTAGCCTCAAGTCAAATGCAATATACACTAACATGTGACTTAAGGCAAGCCATTAGTCCCATGCTTTTGTACTGGGGCCATTATAAAATGCTTAAAGGCTGAGGACCAGGTGGTTAGTATGGAGCCTCTAGTCACTACAGAGGGGAGTTTTCCCCTGTGGGTTACAGATCATGACTAGCAACATCTGGGATCTGGTTTCTTTAAAAGGGAGCTGGGGACAATGAATAGAGCATGACTAGTAACTTTGAATAAATGTCCATGTTGATTGTAAAGGAGAATGAGAACAAGATCTATCTCTCCACATATTGTTAGCTTCAACCAGTACTTATTTCAAAATTCCAGCCAATCACAACATTAAAAAAAAAAATTTTTGTGTGGTCTCTCTATACAATGTTTAAATACAGCAAGCAAATACAAAGTGGTTGCATTGTGTCAATCAGATGGCAGCACACAATCATGAAGCAGGCAGTAAGCTGTCTAATTTTAAAGGAAGGAATCCCAAAGGGTTATTTGTCAAACTCAGCAGTTAAGCCATAAATGTGGACACACAAAGCAAAGGCAGAGTGCCAAGACGGACGGTTTTCGCTTGTTTGTTTTGCAAGTGTGAGCACACCTGCTTCAACACTGCATGCCTGGATTGTAGCCTTTAGGAATCAATAAAATAATGAGACACTAAAAAAAGTGATAAACATCAGAAGAAACTGTGACATGGCTTTGTGTGTTCGTGGAAAAATCCCCTGTGTAAGGATCAACAGCTATCTTTTTTATAATAATGTATATTAATCCCTTCATTGTCTTGCAGATGAAGCCACTGACTGTACTTCTCTGTTGTCATGAGTTATGACTTCTCACTTCTGTGTGACTTGACCAGCTGGACTTCTGCCCCATCCTCCCCTCACCTGCGCTTGCAGGACCATGGGTAGTGTCAGTAGCCTCATCAATGGCAACAGCCTCAGTAACAAGCACTGCAGGGCATCTGAGTGTAGGTTAAAAAAAGGCACAAATCACAATAGAAAGAGTGGAGGTTGCAGCCTTGATGAGTTACTGAAGTGCGGCTTCACTCAGGGTTCCTTGTCTACCACTCACCCCTCTAGAGGTCTCATCCACTCTGGACGAAGTGAAGATTTTTTTTACATTAAGGTGAAATCAAAA